TACCACCATCACCAACACCACCATTACCATCTCACCATCACCTCCATCACTACCACCATCACCAACACCACCATTACCATCTCACCATCACCTCCGTCACTACCATCACCACTACCATCATCACCACCATCACCATCACCATCACCACCACCACCATCACCACCATCATCACCATCACCTCCATCACTACCACCATCAACACCACCATTACCATCTCACCATCACCTCCATCACTACCACCATCATCACCACTATCACCATCACCACCACCATCACCACCACCATTAACAATATATTCATTGTCAGTCATCATCACCATCATCATCACCATGAACCACCACCATCATTACTTGCCAAGGGCCGGCATATGCAAGCATCATCTTTTTTTGAAGTATGTTTTTGAGACATAATTCACAATCCACACAGTTCAGTCTTTTAAAGATATTCACAGGGCTGTATAACCATCGCCACTAACTCTAGGAAATGTTCATCACCCCCAGAGGAAACCCCGTACCTATGAGCAGTCATTCCCAATTTCCCCTCCCTCTGGGCCTTGCAACCACAGACATGCTTTCCGCCTCTGTGGATTTACCTGTCCCAGACACTTGATAGAAATGTGTTCATAAAATATGTGACCTTTTGTGTCTGACTGCTTTCACTCAGCATGGTGTTTTCCAGATCCATTCATGTTATAAGTGGTATCGATACTTCATTCCTTTTCATGGCTGAATAATATTCCATTGTATGGATATACCACGTTTTATCCATTCCTCCACTGATGGAAGCATCATCTCTTTTTATTTTTTAATTTTATTTATTTACTTACTTATTTATTCATTTTAAGATGCAGTCTTGTTCTGTTGCCCAGGCTGGAGTGTGTAGTGGAGTGATCTGGCTCACTGCAACCTCTGCTCCCTGGTTCAAGCTATTCTTCAGCCTCAGCCTCCCAAGTAGCTGGGATTACAGTAGCCTGCCACCACACCCAGCTAATTTTTGTATTTATAGTAGAGATAGGGTTCCACCACATTGGCCAGGTTGGTCTCAAGCTTCTGGCCTAAAGTGATCCACCCGCCTGGGCCTCTCAAAGTGCTGGGATTACAAGCGTGAGCCACTGTGCCCAGCCGCATCATTTTTTTTTTTTTTTTTTTT